AGTAAATGCTTTTGTCCCCCGTTTCGCCATGAATTTTCCCATATTTTCATTATGTTTCCCGATCGTCGTCTTGCTTGCAAGGCGCTAAAATTTACAGCGATAAGTTAATAACATCCCATGATTTAATGGAAAAAGAGAAAAAAAAGAAATCCGAGATATCGGCTCAATCTTGTATTTCGTGGGAACTTTGGAGGGATAGTCAATTAATTCATGTGTCCAAAATAATCAATAGGAAGACAAAGAAGAAACTGAGAAATAAAGGGGTCTTCGTCGGAGAATGGTTACTTAAGCGCGCGTGATGTGTATGTACGTGTAAATGAGACCAAGAAGCCAAAAAAATGTATAACCTACATGTGTGTATGTATATAGATATTTGTATAGTATATTAATATATAAAGTATATATATATATATATACATATTAATTTTTTCTCCACGCACACTTGTAAGTATACATGTGTATTGCACGCAAAGTTGCCATCAGATATCACCGGATCGCGTTGAGGTAACACATGTAATAATAACTATACTACTTGTACTTGAGCTTAAAAGAGTGCAGGTCATGGACAATTAATTAATTGTCAATTTAGATTTGACCGCTCTTTCACCCCTATGGGCAATAAGGCTTAACTTCCTTTACCACGATGTGGCTATAATTAAGGTCTCCCGTCGGATTATGCAATTACCTTGAGGTTGATATTTTTTAGCACGCTGCTGATACCGCTAAACACGAGCGTACACAAACACGTGGTGAGATCATTTTTATGTAATTTGTGCGTGCAAAAAGATTCATAGATGACACCTCTATCGCTGTTACTGCATCACTTATGCAACGATGTTTGTACTTTTTTTTTTTTTTTTTTTTACTTTCGAGACACGGCGGTTTGTTTTCACTGCACAAACCGATGCCGGAGGTCATTCGCCTAAAGTCTTCACTCGATACTTATTTAAAAACTGCAGTCTTTCCATATAGGTTCTTATATACTTGGACGCCCGCGTGAATAAAGTTAGCGTCCCTGCCGCTATAAATTAACCAAGGAAAAGACTCCTCATTATAACTGCGAAAACAAAAGACATATAATCAGGTATTGTCGTTATTACCGACATCAATAAAATACATCCCGTTAACGTAACTGTAAAGCCAAATGGATTTATAACGGAGAGCGATATTATAAATGCGTATGAAAAAATAGAAAGAAGAAAAAAAGAAAAAATTACGATTAAACAAAAACAACCGATAATAAAAAAGTATGTCTCGTGGCAGTTTCAATTTCAACTGTAGGGATTCGGTCATCTTGATGCGTTTGGGGTGTCAGTAATGTAGGTATAACTGCTTATTCATTGACTGAAATTTGGATTTTTCATGTAATCATCAGATCTGTTTGCGCGGGTTTTCTTGGTTATACGATAATTATTTTTTCTCTTGCCCACGTCTTTACGTGAGATATATTTCACGGAAACTAAAACTCTTGTCTCTCTTACATCATCGTAAGCATCTATGCCAAGGAAATAATGTAAAGGTTAAAGTGTAAGTATAGATGGAAAAGGAGGAAAAAACGAGGGCAGGAGAAATTGGGACGATTCGTCGAATAACCAGCACAATTTGGTGATAAATTGGTCTGCAAAGGAGGAAAACTCATGAGAGCAGAAGCAGCAGAAAAAAAGTAGAAGAGTAGCGTACTTATACTTGTAACATATACAAAAGAGGAAGAGGGAAAAGGGCGAGCGTGCAGTTGCAGAGTCAGTGTAGATCTCACGTGTACACTTTATATGTATGCATTGTGAGGAGGGTAGATGATAAGGGTGGTGGAGAGGGGAGGGTAAAAGGAAACAGAGAGCACGAACGAGGAGAAAAAAAAGAAGTGAACAGAGAGCGAATGCGTGTATGTATGCATGGTATGAGCGAGCTGAGCTGCTGAGGAGGCTGCAAAAGAGAGGATTGAATTAAGGAGGGGTGTAGGTACACATAAGTATAGGCATGTAACTATATACCCTTATGGGACAGCTGTAAGCTCTTGCAGTGCAGCAAATGCTGTTGTTTCAATATTTTATGAAATGTTCAACAACATGAGCACGCGAGAATATATTATAGATATACCTACATACGGCCCATCGTGCATATATAGTTACATACCATCACCGGAATCGGAATCGACAACAAATGCAGCCTCTCCGTGTGCCTCAACACACGCATTATAATACCTATATTTATCCCATCTATATGTATCATTCATCAGCTATGTTAGTTAGTACATATACGTATATATGTATGTATAGTAAAAAAAAGCCGCTCGTCTTAATAGGTAAATATTGATGGTTCATAATGCACTCGAGTTTATTGTACCTTAAGAGACGGTACCTAATGATAAACTGCCGAATAATCTGCGTCGTACAAGTAATTACTCTGATGGCGATTTTCAGGATGCTTTGTGCAGTAATTCGACCAATTTATTTATTTGTTACCAGATGTTATAATTTCATGCAAATAGGATAATATGTGTCCGATGTACCCATATAAATTATATACGCCAAGTCAATCAACTATATTTTTATGCGTTGATGTAAAAAAATTAGAATTTTACCTGCGACTCACAAAGTGTGTGCAACAAAGACATTGTTGTAGACAAATAATTGCCCCAAGAAAATAAAAAATCGCTAAACTTGTGTAAAAAAAAAAAAAAATCTTGCCCTTGTCGTATATGATCCATAGGTATAAACTAATAGGTACATATGGGTACGAGAAAACGAAGAAAAGGATGCTTCAATGTGAGTCTGTATAAGTTTAATCATTCATTCGTCCTCGAGTGATGCGATAAAAATAGGTATGTATATGTACCTACACCAAGCGCAGCTCAGCTTTCGTTCTGATGCACGTGCACATGAGCATAAATACATACAGCTGTGCTCTTGCCTTACCTCGCTCCCATGTGTATACATATAGTATATATACACACCATTTCGCATGGGCATTACTAAGATTATTCTCTACTCTCGCTCTGTACCTTTGTGTGTGCGACATACTTATATACACATGCAGTGCGCTGCTCTCGAGCCACGCGATCCGCGATCCCATTTTTCCAGGTTTTCCCTGCTCTGAAGCAACGTGAAAGACAAGCAAAAAGAAGAAGACGACGAGCGAGCAGAGTAAAAGAGGAGGGGAAAAGCTTCACCACTTCTCTCCTCCTCGTCGCAAAGTTCAAGGTCTCATTAGGCTTTTTTTATGATTCAGCGAGAGACTGCAGCAACTCGTGTTCTCCCCGAGTGAAAGAGTTGGCAAGCAAACCGGCGAGAGCAGAAAAGTAAGTAGAAAGAGAGAGCAAACCTGGATAGGGAATGCGGAAGAGCTGAGGCCATACCTACATATAAGTATAGAACGAGCAAACGAGGCTCTTTTTTTTTTTTTTTTTCCTGTCAAGCCATAGCACATGTGGTGAGCTGCAGCATCTACACGTATAGGTACACTGAGCCGTCCACCACCTTACCCACGCAAAGAAAAATGGGAATAGATCAAGTATACTTGTCTTCGCACTGCAACTGCAACAGCGTGTATAACCCATACTCAGCTAACAATGATAATACAAAAATTCGGATTTTGGACGAAATAAGTATTGAGCTCTGCATCCATCAGTTTTTTTTTTTTTTTTTGATTGCTTTTTTTCCTACAGGTTTCTTTAATGAAATCCACAACCACCGGGCATACTTTGTTCTTCGCCCGAGATTGCTGCACCTGTACGTACGTCATCAAAAATATGCCTAAAACCTGCAGAAACTGCGTGGAATATAATTAAGTATAGTTATATTACAATAAGAGATAAAATTACGTCCACAACTCGGCGATCCATGCACATTGCACACCCGATACTTACACGTAGCAATTGCTTTGATAAGACTATAATTATACTGTGCTAGGGTCATACCCTATAGGTGCTACAGTATATTATCATCCAACAAATTTTTTAATTTTAATAAAGCATATTATATACTTACACCATTCTATTTTCAACTCAGAAAAAACATTTATTCGCCAATGATAACTTTGCTTTTACTTTAAAACTAGCGGTAAAAAAAAAAATACCTCATCTTACCACGGCTGGACAAAGTATAATACTGTAGATGTATGCATATGTATATTTTGTAAGCCCCTTAAAACTACAACTGCTAGATCCTAGCATTGATAAAATTTCATCATCACAATAATGTACGCGTAGTCGTGCCGCATGGAATCAACATTTTTTAATTTCAAACAAAAGCAAAGCCTTCACATTGACGATTTTAGGTCCTGGTAACCAAGCAGCGCGCGGGAAGAGCGCAAGCCTCGATTGGAGTGCTCCCACCAAGTGCCAGTATCTGAAAGTATTCGTTGGTATGATGTGTAAGTAGGTACTTATTGGACAGGAGTATAGGTAGATAATATAAACAGTATATGGTACAATACGGTAGTCAGTGTACACAGAGATCTGCAACTATATCTAATGGCACTGCAGGAACTTACCGAGTTACGAAACCGTATTGCGCAGTGGGTTCACCGATTTCGTAATTTATACCGTGATTAATTATATTGGGAAGGGGGCGGGTGCACGTGCTGGGGGTGCATCAAGTGAAAGTTTGCTGTAAAAATGTTTGCCTCCATAGTGTAGGAAATGTAAGCCGAACGTTATTACTATCATGGGATTGTACATGAGAACTGGTCCCAGTTTTGCTGGAGAAACATCATTTCTTTAACTTTTCCCTTTCGTACGTATTTACATAAACGCTGTTTTCAAAGGTAGTATAGGCTTATGTATTTGTATGTACCTTCATATTACAAAAGGTGTATATAAAATACGTGAGTAAATAAAAAAGAACGTGAATCTTGCATATCCAACATTTTACATGTCATCGGAAGCGTATGAAAAAAAAAAAAAAAAAAAAAAAAAAAAAAAAGTAGCTACGAATGCCACGGCCTTTGCGTGCGAGAGCAAGCTGTGCGCCTAATAATTTAATGGCTGATGCGCTGATGGTTCATCTTACCTCGCCGAGCGCGATATTTTTTTGAATTTCAGGAATGGCCTCGTAGAGCGCGGTGCACTCCTGACTGGTGAGCCGTGGCACGCCCAAGCGCTTCTGGATTCCGGAGGGCCCGAGAACCAGCCGCTCCCCGCAGTACTTGATTTCCGGCAGCAGGCACGAGCGGACGTAGGCACACTCCTCGATCCCCTGCTCGTCCCGCAACGCTGCGCTCGATGGAACCAATGCGCTTTACTCTTTTATTGCACCAATAATGCACCAGATTGCAATATTTATTATAAAAATTAAAAAAAATCACTTTCCGTACAACTCGTATGAGTTATACTTTCATGGGACGGACCTCATAATGCATGCATACCTATATATATTATGTATAAATGAATAAAAAGCACGACAACATAACATACATTAAGTAAGAGTAAAGGACTTGCAGAATTGATACGTTATCAATTAGTACATAGGTACAGCCGAGTTAGGGGCCATTTATTTATATCAGCCAAATAAATAAAAAAAGAGAGAAAGAAATAGTCAACGATAAGGAGTGGGTCGGCCCACTCATCTTGCATGCAGTATTTCACGTTCGAGCGTGAAATGTGGGTGTGTGTAGGCCGGCTGGTCCTATGAGGTACCCAAGTTGGTGTTACAATGCGCGTTGTGTCGCGAGGAATTTCATTGAAAAATCGCTCGTTCTCACGCTTTCTCCGTTACTTTATACCTTTATACACCTATACTCTTGTATACATATTACACCGTTGCTGTCCTATGAGAAAAATAACACTGGACTGGATATCCATACACCCGTATAGATTATTATTATTATTATTATTATTTTTATTATTATTATTATCATCATTATCATTATTATTATTAGCACATGGGGCAGGGGTGATGATTGGCCGAATTTCGGAGGTTGATTGCAGAAATTTATTACTGCTGGTTGCTCTGCGTTGTTTGTACAAGCGTGCACGTGTGGCTCGAGCATCCTTCAATTTTCCTGCCCTGACGCAAAAATATCAGTGTAAAACAGGCCACTCTTCGCGAAAGAGCAACGATATACTATTGTATATAGGGGGGGGGAGGGTGCCTCTGTCTCTCTTCCCTTTACTCTGACTGCACGTAAAGTATTAATCAAACTATACTTACATACATGCATGCAAGTAAGCACGAGATCATCACCATCAGAATATTGTCTTCGTCGCGTGAGGTAACAAATTTCTGCTACCCCTGATGACCTGTAAACCCTCATGTCCCTTTTTCTTTACGGCCCTCGCTCGCATAATATACCTTAGTTTCGTTCTACGTGTATGGTATACACAATATATTTACATTTTTGTACTCGTGCGGTAGGCAGTTAAAATGTGTGCGCACGTTTATACGTTTATGCCAACAAACGGTGGAAAGAGAAAGGGACAAGTTTGAAAATAAAAAAAGAATCAAAGTTCTGCTCGAAGACAATGGAGCGGAAAGTGAAATGGCAGTCGAAGGCAAGTAAGTATAGGTACGTGGGTACGTGATGATGTGCACTTTTTAAAGCACATTATTTGAAATATATAGGTACACCGAGGAATAAAAGTTTATAGGTATATAATATATGTGTATATGTATAAGAGTATAGAACAAGGAGTGTCCGGCGTCACTTGTATCGTCAATATCAATCATAACCGAGAGAATAATAAATAACCACAAAAAATACCGGCAAATATGATAGCTGTGGTGCAGATACGTTAAAGTAGGCGTGAGCAACGATGGACAGATGATGACGCAGCTCCAATCCAGTACAGTAAAGAGATGTAAAAAAAAAAAAAAAAAAAAAAAAAAAAAATCGCTCATTATTTCTGACCTTTGCACAGCGAGATGGAAAATCTGGCGGCTGCGAAGCCAAGGCACCAAGCTGAGGAGTCGGTCGAGCCGTCGCCGTTCTCCTCGTAAGCTGCACTACTCTTGACCAGATTGTCCGAGTTTCTCATCGCGTGCATCAGCTTGCTCAGCTCCTCCTGCGGTCAACGACGCACAATCATTATTATAATTATCATGATGAACGAAAGGCTAATAAGTAGTCAAACATTAACATGAATGGCTGGATGGGCAGACTCGAAACTGCAATGTGCCCCCACACCCCCAAGCACTTATCTCATTCATCACTTTTTAACAGAGCTATTTATGTTTTACTACAAGTTTTGAATGGTTCCGTACCGGGCCGTTCTCCCCGACGATGGATGTTACTATACAGGACTATAACGTATAAGTGGACTCACGGGTGTAAAGTCAGCGCACGGCCGAGTCCGAGAAAAAAGGGGCACGCAGCTCTTGGAGCAGGCACCACCGATCACGGGCACCGAGACGAACTCCGGGGCGACGCCGAGGGTTTCGGCGGCGAGACTGTTGGCTCGAACCGAGTACAGGCTAAGGACCCCAAAGAGCCGTCTCTCGTCAAGCAAGCCTCCCGTATTTTTGTAAAGTTCGACGAGCATCGGCACCAAGCAGTTCACCGAGGGGGACACCACTGCCACCAATGCCTTCAATTGTTTTCATTTCGGTTGGACCCAATCAAGTACAATATTATCATCATCATCATCGAATTTTCTTTTCCCTGACGTTCTGCGTTCATCAATGAGTCTCCCCCAGAGGTAACACCCGCGTCCCTCATTATATAATATTATATTATATATAATACGATAGTAATAATAATAATAATA